TGGAATTTGGAAGATAAAAATGCTAGAACTCAAACAAAAGTTCCAGATTAAATTTTCAAAGATCAAGAAACAAAGAAATGAACCAGAATGCAATAGTTATTTTAGCAATTACTAGCAAAACTCCTTCTTTTGGAACAGTTTGCATTGTGCATTTTAACAGGGATTGATCCTTGGTATGAGATCTTGTGATATGTATCAGGTTATTTTTGTAGCTTGAAGTCCTTTCATTATTCTAGCTAGGTAGAGCGCTCGCTCCGTGATCGGAGGTTGTATGTTCGAATCACGGCCGCGACTGACCTAAGTCGATAAAAAATAAGTAGCAACTGTTCCTAAGCCAAGCGCTCGGCACTTTAAAGTGAAAGTTGCGGGTCCTTCGGTTGAGACCTCAAAAACCGAGGCCCTGTGTCACGGTAGGCGTTGGCACAATAAAGAACCCTCACTGCTTAATGGCCCTAGAGTGCCGAGTATAGGTCTAAATTTGAAGCTCTTTACCGCCATACGGTGACGTCTCTACATTCAATCAATCAATCAAAGGAGTAAAGACGGATTTTAAAAAAAGATAGAAAGGGTCAAGGGAATCCCGTGAGCCTTGTGGCTCATATACCTTTTGCTTCATTTTTAATAAATGAATGCAACTTGATCGTCTGCTGATAAGATCAACTTCCTTATCGTAAACAGCCAACTTACAACTAAAGTATATGATCAACAGGATGACTCAGTTTTTCCATGGTCACCTTTTCCTATTTATAAAGTAATATTTCTCCCTAAAATGCATATAATTTATGATATTTGTCTATTTCAAGACATGCATTTAACTTCGCGCATCACATCTAGTACTTATTCATCCAAAAATTGCGATTAGAAATTTAAATATTCTTTTTTTTTTTTTTAACTTTTCTTATTTCATTATCTATTTTGAAATAATTTCCACATGAACATCACGGTAAGGCGTAGTTTGTAGGATGATCATGAAGAATGATTCTCGTAAATTTAAGTAATTTCAACCTCATTTCGTCTCAAAAAAGCCTGTCTAGATGATCTTTAATTTCAATTTTTCAATAATTAAGAGATAAAAATGATTTATATGATTTAAATATTACAACAACAGAAAATTTTGTAAATATAAAGTGGATTTCTTTCAGGCCCATTTCAGACAGAGTGCGAAGACAAATTAAGATGTATCATGTATTAATATACTTCCATTTATATCACTAAAATACAATTGATCACTTACATGAGAATGTGAGATGCACAAAAAGAACATTTCTCTGATGTTTCAGTGATAGCTATGATGAACAAGGCAAGTTTCTTTTCTATATATATATATATATATATATATATATATATATATATATATATATATATATATATATATATATATATATATATATATATATATATATATATATATATATATAGCCTTATTAAGATATTAGATGAGAAGGGATACCAGAGACAATTTCTTCGATTTTATCTTCACGCTGTCTTCTGATTCACTCATATCTTTGTTTCGTTCTCTTATCCTTATCTTGTCTACTGTTTAAATTTATATCTATTTATTCAGACACAAGTAATTGATCAATCGACTATAATTCCTTTCTTATTTGTTAGTTTTGGTAATCATATCTTGGATCACTTACACTTACATTTATTTATCTGACACTTTCATGTAAATTACATTGATTTGATTCGTCAAAAAACATTTGTTAAAAAAACATTGTTACCCTCTGAATGAAGAAACCACGCAATTCAGCGCGATAGAACATAGCATATATAACATTCAGCGATGTAGATACATGTAGGCAGACAATATGCTTAAATTATCCTTAATCTAAAGTTTCAAGTTATTTGAAAACAGTTGCATTTTGCATGCTGAAGTTGCACCCCAAATTACAGTTTATAACACTGTAATAACCGTATATACCTTGTACGTGGAGGTATTGTCATCCAATCTAGAAATTACTATACCAGCCACCATGCTATTCATTATCCAACAATTAATAAAAATAGCGTTTTGACAAGAATTGATTTTTTCATTTCGAGCCAAATTGTTAGACACAATAATTTCTTTTTGTATCTTAAAACAGGAGGCTTCCTCAACACGATCTACAAAATCAATTTTATATTTCATTTACATTTATTAAAAAAAAAATCTTCAATAATAAATTAGTAGGTTGATTTTTTTTTTCAATTTGAGCTTTTTCTAGACATACCTACCACATTTTCATTTAAAGCAGAAAGTGTTTCATGCTTTTAAATAGCAAATTAATGCCAATTTTGGTTGAAGATTAGAAGAAAAACAATTATCATTAAATAGCCAGCATTTTTCTTATTACCCTCATCTACACAAGATAAGCTTCTTCTTTTATGGAAGGAAAAGCCAATACTTATCCCAGTATTTATTAAGAGAAAGGTTTAGAAGCTATAAAATTTCACTTTATTACCTTTCAACTTCTTACATGTGTACATTTATGCTTTGGAAAGCAAAATTTACTCTCAGTATCTTTGTTTGAGTACATTAGTTTGAGTGATTAAAAAGTAATTCTTTTGTCCTAAATCTGAAGAAAACTATATATTCGGATAGATCCTTGTGTTTTTTCCAACAAAACACATCTTAAATAATGAAATGATGAAGGTTTAGTTGTATGCTCTTAGTTCGGCTTATCATAATAGCAATATCTTAATTTCAGTATGCTATTACATAACATGAACGAACTGATAATTGGATTTTTAGAAGATTTAGAAAATTCTTTTACAAACTTAGATACTTATAACAATTATCCTCAAAGTGAAGGATTTTTTCCTTCGTTAGTCAAGTTATTGTGATTATGAAAATGTCAAGGTTTCAAACCTCAGAAAGTTAAGTGCGATAATGTAGTTTTATAACTGAACATCTCAAGCCAAGAAAAAAGTAAAATACTGGAAGTTTGCAAGCATGAAAGTAAATAAACATACCTGTCAAAACTAGATACGGTCACGGTAGCTCGGTCGGTAGAGCGCTCGCTCCGTGATAGGAAACTCGTGGATTCAAATCCCGGCAGCGACCAACCTAGGTCGATAAAAATAGGTACATGTAGCAACTGTTCCTTCGCAAAGCGCTCGGCAATTTGAAATGAAAGAGTATGAATATATCTCTTGGTATGTCACAATACTGTACTTGACGTTAAAACTATATTGCAAACTGTTTCATTTTAAGATGACAATTAAATTGCATTATCTGTGGTAACTCTTCAAATACATAATTTATATATAAGATATGACTAATTTTTGAAAATTCATAAAGTACATGAACGACAAAGCTTCACGCCTGTATATTTATCATGAAGCGTTAACGCGCTTCATGAAAAATGCAGATGTGAAGCGTTATGGTTCATGTCCTCTTGAACTTTCAAAAATTAAATTTATTTCTCCAGTAAATCCTGCATATAGCGTTGCTAAAAATTGAAATTCAGCCACCAAGAGAATTTTCATATAAAAACAATTCAGAGAATCTTGAATCATGCAGAAAGTATCTCTGGTTCGCACTCTTCCTGCACCTTCAGTACAATTCATTTAGTCTGAGCAAGTCAAATGTTGTTTGCAAGAAAGTATTCTTCAATCTGAAGTGGATAAATTTAACTTCACTTCTGAATAGGTCAAATGACTGTTCGGTACTTTTGTTGAATTAAAGTATTGTACAGATTTTTATTTCAAACTTAATTTAATCAAAACAATAAAGAATACTGTAAGAAATACATTTTTTTTATTTTGCGTAAGGTTGTTTTTTTTTTTTTTTTTTTTTTTTTTTTTTTTTATACCAGATCTCTGATTTTAATTAAAAAATAAGTTCCAACATTTTATCATTTTGAACTGCGAATCCATACAGACTGTTGTATTATTTTTCAAGACATTTTTTTTTGCATAAAAATTAGTAAAATACCATTTAGTATATATAACAACAATTTACTGAACTTACATCTTTGTAGATCTGAAATATTCACTGTATCATTAAAAACGCATTCATTTTTTATATTCATCATATTATATTATTTAATGCTTAACTACACTATGCTTTGGAATTCCGGATGAAGGTGTTTCACATAAACATTATATGAAATTGAGGAGAATAGATATGATATACTACAATCACCCTACCTCTTTTGAACGTGTTTCAATTATACATATATCATCTTTCTGTCCACACGTAGTCTCTTGTCAGTGCAAGGAACACTATTACTGATGTTCACAACATCATTACCTTGGTGTCTTACAATTTTATATAACGTTCGTCACTACTGATGCTCCAAAATATTAAAATTGCCTTTTGTTTTAATATAGATTAAAAAATACTCCTGCAAAACTATAGTTTACTTAACCTCAGTTCAAGGTTTCTAGTCACATGGTAGTTATTCCCTATAAATGTTCTTTTCTTATGAAATATGAATAATAGTGCTGAGTTCATTCATGTGTTGTTGTAAACAATCACTTTGAAGTATTTAATGTTTTCAAACGTTTAGTGAGAAAATATGATATTTCATACAATGTGAAATCAGGAGGTACATGGACTTTCAGTATTATATGTAATTCAGGTTATTGATACATGTGTTTGTGGATATCTCTGATAGGTAATTGTTACAGTTTGTATTCACATATCAGCAATTTAACCAATTTTTTAAAGAACGTTCCTTGATGTTTTTGACGTTGACTAATTTAAACGCAAATAAGAAACTATTTAAACGCAAAAAATCTTTAACATATTTTGTATGAATTTATTATGGAAATATTTATTCTTACAATGTTATTTTACCCACTCCTTCTTTTTACATCTAAAAAAAGAATATAGAAAAACTTCGATTACCTTCTTCACTTTCAATTCGAAATACAAAAGATATTATTCAATCAAAAACACATGCAGGTAAATTTCTAATTTAATCTGCCTTCCTTTTTTCAGATGTGATTGAGATCAAGGATCATTTTTTTGTCTTCAATATTGACGTGAGTTAGGTAATTGGGGGAAGAAAATGGCTAGTTTTTCTTCAGTCATTGACAATACAGAGAAGATTCATAGATACAATTTATCTAATCCTTTGGATAATAGCACCGAAATCAATTCAACCTACGTTTCAGATGATACATCAAGTCAACCTTTCTACGACTTTGTTCATGCACTTTATCTTTCTGTAATACCACTGATTTCCACGCTCGGAATTATTGGGAATGTTTTATCAATCAAAGTTTTTCTGTGCTCTACATTCAAAAGACAACCATCAAGCATCTATTTAGCCGCTCTTTCAGTATCAGATACATGGTTTTTGGTGGCCTTATTAATGGGATGGCTAGGGAGTTTTGATGGAACAATTCAAGAGTCTGGAGTAACATGCATGATTTCAATATATGTTACGTACGTCACAGGCTTTCTGTCCGTATGGTATGTAGCTCTTATCGTAATTGACCGATACATTGTCGTTTGCCACCCTCTAAGAGGGCCTCGTTTGTGTTCCAGGAAAAGAGTTGCCACAGCATCAGCTCTCATTACAACGTTTGCAATTATATTTTATACTCACTGTTTTCGTACAACAATGATTGTAAAAAAGGCCTCGGGAAATGGAGTTCAGTGTGTTGTTCAAAAGGACAGCATGCACGTGCTAACAATAATAACCTACATTGACTCTGTCCTAACTATAGGAGTACCTTTCCTTACAATTTTTGTTCTTAACTGTAGTCTCATATCGGCCGTGAGAACATTTAACAACAAGCATATAAGATTCAGTGAGAGAAAGCTTTATTCGTATTCTCCTCAATATAGCATCCTGACCAAGGCTCAGATACGATTGACAGTGATGTTAGTGGTGGTGTCCTCTGTGTTTCTAATTCTGAATCTGCCAAGCCATGCCATCAGACTTTACATCATGATAAAGGGTCTGGTAATGAAGCGCCAAAACAGCATTACATTGATCCTCATTCAACAGATCTTTCAGATACTATATTACGCAAATTTTGCTATCAATTTCATTTTGTATATGGTATCGAGTAAACAATTTCGCAAATGTCTCAAGGAAAGTCCAAAATGCCGAGTTTTACGAAGGTTGAGATTAAAAAAGACATTATTAGATAGGCGAAAAGAGTTTGGGTAAGATTTAAATGACATTTGTGTTCATATCATATGTACATTGTAATAATTACTTTTAAACTATCGCGGTAAGTTGATCTGATTGGGCTAAATATATCTAAGGTCAAGGGTATGGAATTTGTGAATGAATTCATGCTTACATTAAAGCCCAATCTTTCATTAAAATGTTATTATTCAAAATTGAATCAAGCAAATTTCAATTGTTTTATTTCAACAACGAGCTAATTCTCTTCCTCTTTTTCTCACATTTTACATGATAGCGATTGAACAATACATGTTTTCTATCTCTGAGGAAAAAGGATGCTGGTCAGTTCATCTGGTCAATTCAGTTTATGACGTTTAGAAATGATTTATGAAAGTGCTTCGTTTATCCTTGTTAAAAATCTAGATTAATGAAACAAGAAACAACGATTATAAAAATCCAATTTGTTATGTGCTATATATGTAAGATTTGATTTATTTGCAAGCACATGATTTAAAATTATTTAACGACTTATTCTTTATTGATCCTCAATAACAAGCTCTTTTGCATGTTGAATTTTGATCTCACCTTTTTGATAATTAGTTAAATATCAATGCTAAAAGGCAGCTGATACAAACAAAATTTGGCATTGATAAATGAATTGATATATATATTTTAAGCATATTTTGGTTAATAATATTAAATTTCTAAAATATTAAGAAATTGTAAGCTTTCTATGCTATCCAAAATAATTCCGCTCTGCAACATCCTTATTAGTTTATGCACTTTTTTGCAACTTTAAATCTCATTATGGTGAACTTTTGAATATAAATTATAATTTCGGTTTAACTTGTTCATATTACTAATATAAACATGACTTTGCTTGTTATTTGCAAGATTTTGACAAAAGTTTGTATCATCTGCCCTCAAGAGACTATTAAATGAAGATTGTATAACATTACACTCACAACGAATCCATTTCACATTCCCTTCAAATCGATCTATATTTTTGCTGAAGACTTTTTAATTTGTTTTTCCTCACAGATTGTTATCCTTGGCACAGTTATTGTACAATTTTGTAATAAAATTTTCTATAAAGACTAGAAATTTTATTTTATACTATGAACCAATTACGCATTTGGTTTCATTCACTGTAGAAGTAGAATAGGGTAGAGAATGTTCTTGACGTCTAAAAGATAAGGAAATTGGAACAGTTTGAATTTTAGTTCAAAAAGTTGAAGATAATTAGAGAAATCTAATTTGAAGAATTTTGAAACACTGACAATAGGAGACAGGATTCATTTGAACAAAGTAAATAGTTAAAGTCCATGACGTCCCAATCATAACAATATATGAATAAAACAGTCAAAAATGGTACAAAACAAATTTTATACGGTAATATTATACAGTTTTCCATGTATCTTTAGTGGTGATGAGGGATCTCCTACCTTTATATATGGTTACAGAACTTTCGTGAAGGAGTATATGAAAGTATAAAAGAATGTATTAAACGAGAAAAAAAGGCAAAATAGTACCATTTATCCTTCCTTTTTAATTATAACTAAATGGAAAGTGAAAATAGAATTTTGAAGTATATGTGAAAAATACGTTATGATTCCATCTGACAAACCATTCAGTAAAATATCTTTTGAAAATGAGGCTATTAACAACGGTGTTTAAGAAAACCTTAGCTTAAAATCAACATCTGAAAATCCATTTATAATTTGTACTGAATTCAAAGGATGAAATTCTTCAAAATAACGTTTCAGTTTTATTTATGACTCGTACTTTAAACATTCAAGTCAACGGAGTGAATTTGATTTACCATACATATACGGGATTCCAAATTTTATAAAAATCCTTAAAAACAGAGATACATTGCGAGAGGTCCACTATATGTTCAGTAAATGTTCTACCAGACGCCCATCTTTACTTCTCATAAAAAAAAATATATGTTGCTTTGAGGAAGCCGTCAGGCGTACAGTGCTACAACATACTCAGCAAGTGTTATTATTATAAATCAAAAAAGAATAATCAAAAATTCCAAAGAGCTTCTCTTTTAGAATTTAAAGTTATTACTTTTTCTTTCTTAAACAAAATCAATAAAATAAATACGTATGTATTTTTAACAAATTTATAAGACGACTCCTACTGATAAATTGTAGTCCATTTACCCCCCCCCCCCCAAAAAAAAAAAAAAAAAACTCATATGCAACTGCTTCTTCAATAATAACATATTTTTTTCCATAATAAACTACGAAATTAGTTTCTTAAAAACCATTCTGATCGTTTCATTTTTTTTTTGTTTTCTCTATCATAAAACATCCAGAGAGCAAATAACCTCATATCTTTATAAAGTTTTGGAAATTAAAGATTTTGGATCATTTCAAGGACATCACATCTATAGATAATTATACTACTTTCATTGTACGCAAAAACTGAAAACAATGTTTCCTTAATTTTTTTTTAAATGTTTGTTTTTATAATAAAATACATGTATGAGTGAATCTAGTCCTTTGTCTATTATACATAAAAACAACTGCGTGTTGTGAAGCTGGCATATTATGTCAACAGTTGCGTCGAATAGTATAGCACTTCCTTTTTTTCTGTATCCTTCAACCTTCATCCTAAACTCTGCACCATATTCGGTGTTATTCTTCATCTCCTTTTTTAAATATTAAATTTGAACGTCTGCAGGAAAATGGCACACATTTCAGTAAATACAGTCTATTGACGAGAACATTGGCTTCACAAGCTAAACAGTCGCCACGATGGCTCAGTGATTACTTCATAAGGATTCAGTCTAAATGAAATCATAGATGTAAATATTTTTTAGTTAAATTCGTTTAATTTGATTTCTAACCTTGAATACTAAAATTGTCTGATGACTTCATATGTTTTCCATCGAAATTCCTTCAACCTTTGTGAAACCCAACACCGTGTTTCTTGCAATTTGTGCCCCTTCATTCATCATAATGTTGTAGAGTAAGATTTTCCCAATAACTAGCTTTCCCCGAAATCTTTTCTCTATAGTAGACTTTCTCCTCCCCCCGAAGGGAAATCTCACACCGGAGTCAAATATTCCTTTCTTTCTTTTTCAGAGTAGAATTTCCTTTATTATCAACTCTAAATTTGTATATGGAAATCAACTGAATTTTTAATGTAAATATGAATGTTTTCAAAACAAAAATTGTTCAAACTTGGTATGAAATCTTAAAAAGATATGGTTCAAATCATTGATTAAAAAGAATTATATAACTTATAGGAAATCGTAAAATTAATCAATCAAAAAATCGTACGTCTTGATGTCTCAACACCTCTTTCGTGCCACCTTAAAAGGTTTTTAAAATTCGTTTCCATCTACCAGCCTTTATTTTGTCTATAGATCAGTATTTTTTCTTAGAATAAAAATTAAGATTTATAGAATTGCAAGGTTTAACATGTCAATTTGAGAAGATTTGAATTGGGTAGTTCTTCAAAGAGAAAAAAGAAGAAAAGCCAAAAAAAATAAAAAAAATAAATAAATAAAAAATAAATAAATAAATAAATAAATAAATAAATAAATAAATAAATAAATAAATAAATAAATAAATAAATAAATAAATAAATAAATAAATAAAATAAAATAAAATAAAATAAAATTAAATTTAAAAAAAAACGAAATAAAACTTAAGAATGCTAAAAATATTGATTTTGCAACTTAAGCATGTCCCCTCGACCCAACTGGTCTGATATTTGATTTGAAAACAGAGAGCAAATACTCTTATAAAATTTTGCAAAATTTCCATTTTTTTCCAGAAATGAAACATTTATAGTTCCACGGCAAGGACAGGATATTAAAACATATTTATGTACATGTAATTTGTACGGAAGCCCGTTGAGGCCAATTCAGAGAAAGAAATATTTTTTATTGCGTTTAAACGCAATTATTATTGCGTTTAATCGCAAAACATTGCGTTTAATCGCAATAATCATTGCGTTTAAACGCAAAAGATTGTGTTTAATCGCAATGTATATTGCGTTTAAACGTAAAACACTTTGCGTTTAATCGCAAAAGATTGCGATTAAACGCAATCTTTTGCGTTTAAACGCAATACTTTTGCGATTAAACGCAATAATTTTTGCGTTTAATCGCAATGATATTTTTGCGTTTAAACGCAATAATTTTTGCGATTGAACGCAATACTTTTGCGATTAAACGCAATACTTTTGCGTTTAATCGCAATAATTTTTGCGTTTAAACGCAATACTTTTTGCGTTTAAATGCAATAATCTTTGCGTTCAAAGGCAATAATCTTTGTGTTTAAAGGCAGCCATTTGTATCAAACCTTGCAGAGAACAATGGACCCACGCATACTTATATCTTTTATTCCTTTCTCTTTTTACTTATTAGGAAATAGTCTTTATAGAATCAGATTTCTCCGAGCAAACACTCTCTGAAAGGTAAATCACTAATAAGAATTTATAGAGGAGAAAAAAAAATGTCGGGTTGTAAAAACAAAGGAATCCTAAGAACGAGACATGTCTTAAGCTTATTCTCTACATTTTTAATGAAGTTTCGGTCAGTTGTTCTGCTAAAAAAAACTGTCCCATACGTTGCAGTCACAAGTTTAAATCATGTATAAAGGGATTTTTGGAAAGGACTGAGGAAATGTTGGAATTACGTACAACATGATGGAGTATTTAGACTTCAATGTACATTCATAACCCTTCCTATGGTTGCATACAGTAAACACAAGAACATATGTGATGGATTTATATGAGGTCAAAATCAAAATCAAATGAAAACAGATTGATCGATGTGTACTACATGTATCAAATTGACAAGTGCTATTAATACCACTGAAACTTTCTCTATAAGTTGTGATACACGTAAGCAATTGATCAGAGACTTCAGTAAGAGTTTTGGGTTCTAATACATTTAAGACATTCAGGTTGTTAGGATGCCATTGTTTTATTACAATTTTCAAAAACTGGAAAATTTTGCAAAGAGACACAGAACAAATCGGATCTTCTCAAAGTTGAAGTGTCGGGTCCTAGTACATGTAATTATAAGCTTGGACTAATTCATGTTTGATTGTGAAACTACAGTATCATTGTGTTTAAATGCAAAACAAATCCGTATAAGGAAGGATTATTGCGTTTAAA